CCCCCCCCCCCCACACACACACACACACTCCACCCACCAGACCTTTCCCAGGTCCCAACAGCCGAATCTGGGCCAAGCTGTGACGCACCTTCAATAAAGGGCTCACGCCAGGAGCCCAGCCACAAGACGCAGAGCTTGTTGGGACTGAATGGCATGATCCTAAGGGACCCCCAACGGGGATGCAAAGCACCAGAGGCCACCCTCGCCCAGGACCTCGGGGTAGAGGGCCGACAGAGCAGTGAACTTTGAGCTGGGGAGCTTCCTCAACTCACATGCCTTCGTGTGTGATTAAATTTTAAACTCAACAAAATACAAACCAGGAGTGCAACTCACCGGCAAGCAGAACTCCTCGAAGGCAGGCTTGACGAACGTAATGTACTGGGATAGAATCTGCTCCAGGTCCCTCCCTCTCTCGCTGATGTCTCTTAATACTGTAAAGAAGGAGAAACGGATCGGAAATCATGCCGGAGCCAGCACACGTTTGCCTTCTAGAGGCAGACCTGGCTCTTGGGCCCCCGAGGCCTCCGGAGAGTCCACAAGCTGGACCTGAGACGTGACCAAGAGCGGGTTGGCAGCGCTTCAGGGGAAACGAGTCTCATTTCTACATCTTGCTGCAGTCAAATCCAGCTATGACACAGTGCTCTCAGAGGCAAAGGCTATTCACAGGCTCCTTGGTTCAAGCAGCATTTGACCCCAATAAACTGCAGTGTGAACAAAGAGCTGGACCATCCTGGAGAGCTCACAACAGGAGGCAGACTGGTCCCCAAGGTGGTGGGCTTCCTGGTGGAGGGGGCACACTGCCAAGACACTTTCTTCTGGGCCCACCTGCCTCCTGTCCCCAGCACCTGTGTGCCATCAGCGACCCTCTACTGAGGTGCCCACCTCATCTCGCCAGGCTCGCCCCACCCCCGCTGCAGGCCCTGTAGAGGGGGAGCAGGCAGGGGTCCCTCTGTGGTCAGCCATTCCTGCCTAGTCACGCACAGAGGTTCGCAAATAGGGAATGACTCAGGGAAAGGTGAGGAAACCATGGTGCAGGGAAAGATGGGTCAACCTGGGAAGCAGCCCAGACTGACCCAAGCTCACCGTGTTCCTCCTGGGCAGTGTTATTCAGGGATATTCAAATGCCTTTTAAACAGTCCTTTGTCCAAAATGGAAAGGGTCTGCCTAAGAGACCGGGATCCTGGCTCTGCCACAGTACGTTAGCCTCCCCAAGCCTCAGTTTCCCCCAAACTCAGTGGTGTGCATGAAAAGTGAGTCTGTCAATCAAAACAGGCCCTCCAGCCCTGGCCTGTGTGGCTCAGTCGGTTGGATCACTGTCCTGTGCAGAGAAGGGTCACAGGTTCGATCCCTGGTCGGGGCACATATCCTGGTTGTGGGGTCAGGGTGTGGGTGGGAGGCAACCAATCCATGTTTCTCTCTCACATCAATGTTTCTCTCTTTCTCTCTCTCCTGCTCTCTTCCTCCCACTCGAAAATCAAATTTTAAAAAAAATTTTAAAACAGCTCCTCCCCACAGATGTAACTTTAAATCTTAGTAGCGGTTGCCCTGGCCAGTGTTGCTCAGTGGTTAGAGCACTGGCTTGAGCACCACAGGGTGGAGGGTTCGCTCCCTGCCCCCCAGTTGGGGTGAATTCGGGAGTCAACCAGTCAATGTGTCTCTCTCACGTGAGTTTCTTTCTCTCTCTCTTTCTCTCTCTCCACCCTTCCCCCACTTCCCTCCCTCCCTTCCACTCTCTCTGAAAAGCAATGAAAAAAAATATCCTCAGGTGAGGGTTTTAAAAAAATCTTAGTAGTAGCATGAGCTGTGAAATCTTTCACCCCCACCCCAAAATGGCATCATCCATCCCCAATCATATACAGTGGCCCCTGGTACCTCCCAACCATTTCTCAGGTTACAGACTCAGGTGTGGGAATCCCACTGTAAACAAACCCAGGGAATGCTTGTGAGTGGATTTCTGGAAAGCCACACCTGAACAAGCTTGTCTATACGCACACAGGCGCCCAGGAGCAGGCAGGGACCCAGGCAGGCCCGTGGTGGGGAGACCAGGTGGCTGGAGCTCGGTACCACTGCTACCACCCGACTTCCTCCAGCTCCTCAATTTACAAACAGCCTTCCCATGTGAGCCCCAGGAATAAACAGCTGGACGGTCCCCAACAGGCAGGACTTGCCTGATAACCCCTCCAACTGTCCACCCAGACCAGAGAAGACCAAAGCGGGCTGTACCCGGGCAGGAAATGGTCTGTCCCCTGGGGCATTTTGACACAGGCTCTGCAGGCTCCACGCCACCGGCCTCCAGGAGTCTGACCCATAGGAACTTGGCCAAGACACACAGCACTATGACCGCCGATCCTTCACACATCCCCAGATAAAGGCTACACAAAAGAGGAAGCCAGGGCAAAAGGCTATCAGAACTGGGACAAAACAAACATGCTGCTTGCTCAGGCACTTTCCTTAAAGCCCTGCAAGAGCCCGAGGCCGGACTATGTCGCAAGACGTGCTTTTCACACGCCACTGACCAAGTTCACGGGCAGGACCCCCCGCCCCGCCCAGCACATGCAGGCACACGCACCACATCCTCGGCCCAGGCCTGCAGCCCCGGACCTTGCACACCTGACAGTCCCTCCTGCACACGCTGGAGGGTGAACAGCCAGGCACAGAGCAGGCTGGCCACCGTGAGTCTGCTCTGGAGCCCAGAGGCCGCTTTTCTTGCTCCACCATCGAGAGAAATGGGGGCCAAACAGCCCTGGATCTGAGTCCTAACCCCACCAACGGCGGCCTCTGTCACCTCAGACAAGTTGCCTCATCTCTGTGGAGTTCACTCCCCCCACTGTGAAAAGGACAGTGACATTCCCTTCCTCACAGCTATCACCGAGGGACACAGGGTGATGGGCACGCAGCCGTGTGTGCAGTAAGCCTTAGTCTCTACGACAACGACGGCAGAGACTGAGGGAGCTTGAGGACAGGGACAGCTCCCTGATGGAACAGAGCACAGGAGGGTGGGACCCGGGTCAGACCCAGCGAGAGCGGGGAGCCCGCACAGTAGCTGGAAAGGTGGGGGCCGGGGTGCAGTGCAGGTAGGGGACAGCAGGACACACGCATACACACAACACACAACACGCAGCACACAAATACACAGACACACAGAGACACATACACACACACAGGGGAAGGAAGACTCATCCTGCGGTTTCTACCCTGCACAAGAAACAGGAAAGGGCGAGAATGTCGCCCAGACACTGGGAACACTGAAAATCTAAAGGCCCGTCCATCTCTCCCCAGGGCCCCTCCATGGAGCCGTCTCCTTGAACAGGTACGACCCTCCCTCCACAACAGCAGCACGGGCGCCAGTCAGCCTGCTCCTTGGCCGTGGGGACACAGGGAAAGCTGAGGACCGAGTCCGGACAAGCTCTTGGCACAAAGCGGAAACCACAGGGACTCAAAGCCACTCCCTGGCCATCACTGTGACCTGGCATAACTGTTCCTGGGACAGGACAGGCCAGTCAGAGGCAGGTCAAGAGCAGGATACCGCATGTCCATCCACCATCCTCTCCTGGCATCCGCCTTGGCCCTTCCAAAGCCACCGTCCCTCTTCTGCTCAGCCAAAGCCACGGACACCATTCAGAAGGACCTGGGGCCCTGGCCAGGTAGCTCAGTTGGTTAGAGCGTCGTCCTGATATGCCAAGGTTGCAGGTTCAAACCCAGGTCAGGGCACATACAAGAATCAACCAATGAATCATCAATAAGTGGGACAACATCGGTGTTTCTCTCTCTCTCTCAAATCAATAAATTAAAAAACAAGTAAGACCAGGAATAAATACAATTCCTCAGGGATTAAGTCAATTCACTTCAAGAGCTGTCCCAGGTCCCCACATGGATTCTTCCCGGAGCCCAGATCCTTTGGCAGGGGAAGGATGAATAACCAGAGGCACCCTGGGGAAGGAGGCACCCACGGTAACATCTCTCTCCAGGGCTGCGATGCAAAGGCAGGCGCCCCTCCCATTCAAGGGTGTGACGCACAGACAGACAAGTCTGCAGGAATGTTGTCATGCCCAGCAGCTGCTCCTGACTACTCCTCTTTACTGGCACCGCCCCCC